CCGGGCCCCGCCGCGGGCGCCGCCCGCCGCCCTGATTGGTTGCTAAGTGATTTGCATCTAAGGTAATCACTTTTATCTCAGAAGGATGTCGACTATAATTATAAGCTACTGACATCTTTTGAAATCTGCCTAATGACTATTTTAGTCTGCACATGGGCTGGGGGTGGGGAGGGGGATTCTGGAGGGGGCCGCGGGCTGGGAAGGGAAACAAAAGGCGGGGTTGCGGTGTTGGGGAGCCGGGGTTGCTGTGGGCGGAGTTAGTACCATTTCAGAGATGGGGAAACGGAGGCCCTGGGGCAGAAGCCGCTGCCCCAACTACACAGCCCATGGCGGTTGGCATCTAGGTCTCTCTGATCCCCAGACTCGGGCGTTGGTCTCTTGAGTAGGATGTGGATAGAAATAAGATATTTGGACTAGCTGGTGTTATGGCGGTAAGTTAGCAGGACATTTCCCGGCCCCAACAGTGCGGTTAGAGTCCTGGACCGGGCAGCTTGAAAAATGCAGAGCGTGTGTGCGTGCATGGGTGTGTGTGTTGTGTGCACACCTGCCCAAAATCTCAAGAGAATGGAGAAGTGGCATTACCATCCCCCATGGGGGGATGCTTTCTTCTCTCTCTCTCTCTCTCTTTCTCTCACTCTCTCACTGCCTCTCCAGTGAACTCACACCTCGGGCATTTTTTTTTTTTTTTTAAAGGCTGGTTAGAGGTCTGGTACCTCCCAGGATCTGTCTGGACTCTAATAAAGGCAGGTGGCATTACTAACCCATTTTACTGCGGAGCAAACCCACACAGGGAAGGTGTGGCACTGTCCAAGGTCACACAGCCAGGGGGGGCAGCAGTAGAAGGCCTGGTGGTGGTCAAAGGAAGGGGTGGGCCGTGAGAAGAGGGCAAAGCCGCAGGCCTGGGTGCCAGGTCCCTTCTCCCACCCCCTGTGGTTCCATTTGGTAGACACCTGACATCAGCTTGGTTAGGGCAGCCTGCTGGCCACAGTCCAGGTGCCAAAGCTCGAAGGAATCGGCCCCTGTCCTCCACAGGGGTAAGACGAGTGTGCAGTTGACTCCACTTCTGGGTAGGTCAGAGTGGGGTTAGAGGAGAGAGACATGGGAAAGAAGAACTGCAGTTAGTCATGGAGGACTTCCCGGCAGAAGAGACTTTTGCTCCAGGCCCCAGGGATTAAGCGTATCAGTGAATGGGGGTGTCACTAGCAGAGGGAGTTTGAGAACCCAGGGGATTC